ACCGGACGGGGTATTGAGGTTTATGGTTTTGGCGCCCATACCGGACGGGGTATGGGGACGGCCCGTTTCACCCTCATACCGGACGGGGTATTGAGGTTCATGGTTTTGGCGCCCATACCGGACGGGGTATGGGGACGGCCCTGGAAACTGATTATGAATGTTAAAGGTTAACGGGTAGCGGAACCCCTATGGACCCCCATGGATACTAGTAGGCTGGTAAATGAGAAAAAGGGATATGTTGTACAATGATTGAATTACAAGAGGCGTGATAAGTGTTATGTTTTACAGCTTAGATTATTCAATGATTATGATGATGTTATTGTTTTTCTCATATTGTTTTCATAAATTCCACCAAGGTAAGTGGATGGTAAAGGTTTTCATGTTAATAAACGAGTTTATTGTAAATTGTGCTCCATTGGTCTTTTTGTGTTTTTCTACCCACCTTTACCTCCGTGACGGTGAGATATCGTGATGTTCTTACTGGGCTAGTGTAGCTCACTCCTTATTTAACCATTTCAGATCAGGAAGACATGGTTCCCGAGCCCGTTCCGCAGGAGGACGACGAAGGGGATACCTAGAGACTCTGTAGTCATACTCATAGTTTTATTTTCGAGTTTCTCTCTTAGTTAGTTTAATCTTTTATATTTTAAGTACGTTTTTGGTTTTTCGTGTAAGGGATGTTAACTGAAATTTTGATCTCGCTTCCGCATTTGATATATTTAAATACTCATTTCATTTTAATATTTACGGGGCCGCTACATATATAGATATAGATACGTACATATAGAGAGCATTAATGAGAATTAGAAGACAAAACTTACCATTTAATTTTCATTTTAAGGTAGTTTGATTAAATTGACTAAGTACATAGTTTTTCTCAATATATATAAGAACAAATTTTCTATATCCCATTCTTATATACATATATATATATATATACACACACAACTGTATATTATTTTTTATTGTATTTTTAATTGATATATATATGTATATTCATGTACAAATACATTATCTATATGTATATATATAATAGATATGATACCAAATTAAGATAAAAATTTAAAATTAAATAAATATAAATAAAATGAAAATTCAAGTACAACTTTTTTACTTTATTCTCTAAACGGACTGCAACTATTACCAGCTTTACAGATAAATGAAGTCTATCAGGCGGTGCCTGCTTGGGTGGCGATGTTATCGTAAACAGTACCAAGAATCTCAGCCTCATCCTCTTCTTCTTCCTCTTCCTCTCACTCGCGCCCGTCCGTGCATCATTCATCCTCTGCATTTCTCCTAAATTCCTCCTCCTTCCTCTCAAATTCGTTCTCCTTCTGTGTGATATTGATATATAATCTATCCGATCTCTGTTGCATTTCTGTGTATATCAGTCTCCGTGTGGTGTATTACGGGATCTGTGATAGGTTTTGACTCGAAGACGGAACGGGATGGGAAACACGAACGGGAGAGAAGAAGTTGGCGATGATCCGTCGGTAAGATCTGGTATCCCTAATTCGCATCCTCCTGGACACGTGCCTTCTTCGGATTCTATGGGAAATTCGCCTCCTGGAAGTCCAGGACAATCTCGATCTCCTCTCTTGTTTGCTCCTCAGGTTCCAGCTTCATCTTCTCTTTCTCTCTATCTATGCATATGCGTTTGTATGTAGATCCTTATGGAACATGTGTATATAATTTTTTTTCAGACGATGGAAAATGGTATAATAGTGATCTTGAGAACGCGCGTGTGTTAGGTCGATATTGATTGATATTTTGAAATGCGAGTATTGTAGTCAATGGTGAAGAACTTTTGTTCTTTCCGTATATGTTCCTTGTTAGGGCTGGTGCAAAATGAACTCGTATTCGTCTTTTTTTACTAGATGATGGTTTTCTCATTTGATCACGGAAAAGCAGTTGCAGAAACCGGTTTATTTCAATTGGAGAATCCGGATGTTTGTTTGTTGCTTGTCGATAAATCGAACTACTCACAGCTTAGCTTCTTGAGAATATGCTATATATCTTTTGAGAAGCTAGTTAGCTAATTCATTTGGAGTTCCATCGTTAAGAGATTTGAATCGTGCCCTGTAATGTTGAGCCACTCAACCAAACGAAAAGCTTATCTTTGGCCAGCAATATCTTCAAGTTGTTATGCCAATTGGAGCTGCACATTTTGTTAATCAACATTCTTTAATATTTCAGAGCAATCAATTGAGTAGTGAGAATTTTTGTTCGTGCATAAAAGCAGCGATTCCTTTGTGCTTCTGTGATTTTTGTTAGTGACCAATAGAGTTTATGAAAGTTTCATTAAGTGACCTTGTGAATTTAATTACACTCAGCTAGCCACGATAGTAAGTATTTCGCATTTGAATTAATTAATTGCTCAGCTACCCCGAAAAGTAAGTATTTGCACTGGGAAGGCATATGAGGTATTATAGAGTCTTCAGGTCTGAGTTGCTTCTCCCCTTGGTTCAAGTTCCTTGGGCCTTCCAAGCATTCAATATTTGGAATTTGTAGTGATTGAGATAGATCTATGGGGTTACCAATTTCCTGAGCTTTTGGGTGCTGCATTAGTTTTCTTTTGCCTATTCTTTTGGGATGAGGGAAGGAGGTGGGCATTCAAAGAGACTGTGGAAGCTGAAAGTACGCCAACATTGGTGTTTCATCCTGTGTGAGGATAGGCATATGACCCTATGTTTGTTAGGCTACTGGATCTATGTTGGGATACATTAGATTACTGGATTTCATTCATCACTTCACAAGTCTGGACATGATCTAATGTTTTGTTTCAGTAAGGACTGGTCTTAGATTTTTTAAGGCACTTATTACGAACTAACACGGATATATACATAATTTAAAAATTCCATTAAATTATATATAATATTTTAGAAATATAATCAATTGTTTCAAAAGTAAAAATTTTACACCTATTGAAACGAACTTTTTAATCTCTTGATGTTTTTTTTTTGAATAATCTCTTAATAAATTTTTTATTAGTTTTTTTTTTGAAATAAAAAGTAAACTATATATTAACAACGTACCAACAAACGGAGGTACTACTCATGTACAAAAGATTTACAATAAAGTTAGTGTCTCAGCGACATTCTCAAAATTCACATCACCAATAATATTGTAATCTAATAAAATATATTCAAAATAATTCAGCTATCTATCTTTTAGTCTAGAAAAACTACTTTTCATTTCTTTCCATATAACCCAAAAAACTGTTAAAGGAATCACATTAGCTAAATTATTTTTAACATTTAGACCATTCCAAGCCCAAATCTCTCCCCCCATCGACCCAGAAATGACCAATTAATGCTGAAATACCATACACGAAAGTCCACAATCTGTAGGCAGTAAGACACCACAAATTTTTTACTAGTGTTATCAGGATATCTTGGTTTTGGATAGTTGAGTATCATGTTATTATATAAAAGCCATTTGCGTATTCTTAGATCAGTGGTTTTTTAGCTTACTGTCCTTTTGTGCAATTTGCATTATTTTTAGGTTCCAGTAGCTCCCCTTCCACGGGGTGATGGCCCTCCATTTCCCAATCAGATATGGCCTAACGAATCTCATGGAGTTGTAAATGATGCTTCAGAGCAAGGAATTCCTGTCATTATCACATGGAATTATGGTGGTAACGATGTGGCAGTGGAAGGATCTTGGGACAATTGGAAATCAAGGTAAGCTTTTCTTATCATTATAAAACAGATATTCACTTATGTCGATCTACTATTTAGTGCTAAGTGCCTGCAAAATGCAGGTAAATATGATACCATCTGTCGTTTCTGCTTGTAGGAAGACATTACAGAGGTCTGGTAAGGATTATTCGGTTATTCTTGTTCTTCCATCTGGCGTATATCATTACAAGTTCATTGTGGATGGCGAGTGGAGGTATATTCCAGATTTACCTTTTGTTGCCGATGAAATGGGCAATGTCTGTAATCTTCTTGATGTGAATGTAAGTATCTTATTCACTATAAGAGTTATCATAATCACCTAAAATTTCGTTTCTTTCCCTCATCCTGTGGCACTCAGTTAAATGCTGTACTTGTAATCCTGCAAGTTACTGAGTTCTATGGGTGATTGGTTTGCATTATAGAGGATCAACCTATTCACCTGTTAACTATTTGCACCAATTTGACTAATACTGCGGAAGATTGAGATTGAATACCTATACTCCTGTTTTGTGTGCTCTAATTTGAGTAACGTAGTACTTCATTATAATAAGCCAAATGTTTATATGCACATTGCTAATGTTGTTGAATTTGACCATGTTAGAGCCACAAAATACAAATTTGAAAATTGGTTGGGGGATTCTATCTACTTTATCTCATTTATCCACATGACCACAAATTAGATTCCATAAAGAAATACAACCCATTCCTATTTGTCTAGCCTTTGGGAAGCTGAGATTCAGGTTTTGTATGGAACAAATTATCTCACTGTAAATAAATTAAACGATGAGTTCACTTAAAATGAATTTTTATGTTTGAAATTGTGGGCAATAATATATTCTTGTAAAATGATCTTGAGCATTTTTTAGAGTTGGGTTTTCTTCTTTCCTTATATGTAGGAAAAAATACTTTATTTTTTTGAAACAAAAAGTATAGTATATATCATTAATTGACAAACACCAAGGGGGGTGCCAATTCATGCACAAAATTACTTACAAGTCAATCAGGATATTAATAAGATTCCCAAAAGTTTCCATCCCTCTCAAACTCATCATCCATAGGTCAAAAGCTCTCATGTTTCTTTCGTTCCACGCTGCTGAAAATATAGCAAGGGGGATAAGACCTCTTTCTTCCACAACTAATACCCTTCCAGACTCCTGTGGAAGGAAAACTTTTCAACTCTCAAGTTAAAAGGCATTAACTATGCCTTATCCTGTGATTCTTGTGAGGACAACATACACTTCTTCCCCAAAAATCCTTGATTTTCTATATCTTTTCTTCTGTAAATTCATGCCCCCATTTTTTGTAATTGACAAAATTAAGCCTAACTCATTCAGAGCCCTTGTTTCCTCTCTTCTTGCTAGAGCTCTTAGGTTCCATTCTTTGACTTAAATACTCTTACCATCCTCGAAAAGCCTGATTGCTGTATCGTTAAAAGTCATCAAAGGAGATCTGGAACAACCAATTTAATCTTTCAGTACCTTCTGTTCTTTGATCATCCCTCTACTACTTCAAAAACCACTTAGTTGGGATGATTCTCCATACTTAATTCTCATCTTCTACTTTGGTTGATAGTTGGTCATCTGTGTGCATCATTACTTTGCAACATCTTGAATCTTCTCATTGCCATTTGGTTTATCCTGTACTGCTGTGTCAACCTGCATTTGTGTTGCCCTTGTGAACCATATTCAATGTGTTTGAAAAAAATTGCATTTCTGGAACTATACACTGATAATTCTCCATAATTTTATGTGGATGACACCCCTTGGTTTCTTGTGAATAATAATAAGTCTTCATAAATTTATGTACTGGATGATTTACTATAAATGTTTTCCTCTAGAGCCATGGGAAGTACATGAACAAAATATCCCTAGAACAAGGGACCCTCTTTGTTTAGGGCAAAAGGAGCTGGTTACCGATCTCCTGGCGTTAATTAAATTAATATTTACGAAAGAGATAATGGTCGTGAGGCAGCACACTTTCCTTAGTTCAATTCTAAGTGTTTTTCCTAGTTCAATTCTAAGTACTATATTTTATTATTTTTGGTTTTTTCTAGTTCAAGTCTAATATTTATTTTAGTTTTCTTTCCCTAGTATTTCCTATTTCTAGTTAGATTCTTAGTTTCTTAGAATTTGCTATTTCTAGTCAGGTTCTTGTTAGAAACCTTGTAAAAGGACTTATTTGTAACAGTTTTAGGTATAATTTAATACAATTCAATGTTATTCTTTAAAGTTTTAACATCTGTTGTGAGTAATTTAAATACTCTATATTTGATCTTTTTCAAAACAAACTTCCACTGCACCAGGTAGGCAATGAGCTTCTAAGAGGAAGTTCAGCTTCCAAATTAGGTGAAAGTGTGGCCTTTCTTCTGGCAGAAGTTCACTATCCTTTGAAAAATAGGCATCTTCTAGCATTCATTTTTGTGAAATATGATTTTTGATTGTGTGGGGTTTGTGGGCCCAAACCATAACGATCTTTAACACCAAAAAACATTATGGATATTAGGTCTATGCATAGTCACTTTCTCATGAACTGCCCCTGGAAATGGCCGTTGACTTGCACCTTGTGACTGCGCCCAAATTTTCTTCTCACCTTGACTTTTATAGCACACAGCATGTTCATCTTCAAACACTGGATAACCATGTTCTGATGTAATGATTTTTCAGGAGGTAGTTAGATGCAAATTTGGTCTTCATTATGTTGTCCTTGTTCTAAACTTGAAAAACCGTGGGACATAATTTTTTTGTAAATGATCCTTCTGAGTTTTTATGGCCCAGAGGTGGCTTAAACTGAAGATTGCTGGTGTTTCCTAACACCTAATTGCAATGGAATATTCGTGGTCTCTTTGCTGCATTCAAGCTCTGTCTGCATGCATGTTTTTCTCATACATGTTATTGCACGATGTGTTGGATTTTCTCTATCTTAATTTTTTAGTTAATATCAGAAAACTCCCTAGAGGATTTTATTATGTATGAAATTGCTTGTTATATTTTTAATTAAATCAATTAGCTCAATGGAGTTACAGGATATGTCAAATAGTTGCACCATGAGAAGAATCTTTCCATTAAATATGTAAAGGGTAATTATCTGGTGCACAAAATAAATTATTACCTTTTCATTGAAAAGAGTTTAACAACTCTTGAATACTCACTAATATAGATGAGGATCTTTTAGTCTTATATCAACTGTTAGAATAAAAAGAAAAAGAATGAGAGTAGAAAGCTTGCTTATTGCAATAACAGTAATTCTTTATGTTCTTTCACAATTAAATTTCACGGCAGGGTTATGTGCCAGAAAATCTGGACAGTGCAGCAGAGTTTGAAGCTCCACCATCTCCAAGCCACAGTTACAGTCAGAAGTTTCCTGGTGATGAAGATTTCGCGAAGGAGCCTGCAGTAGTTCCACCCCAACTGCACCTGACCATCCTTGGCGATAACCAAGAGGAGTCATTGTCAAGGCCCGACCATGTAGTGCTTAACCATCTTTTCATAGAGAAAGGATGGGCGTCTCAATCCGTTGTTGCCTTAGGGCTGACTCACAGGTTCCAGTCCAAGTACGTCACCGTTGTACTGTACAAGCCGCAAAAAAGGTAATAACTCTCTTGTTCCTCAATCTGTAAAGGAAAGAAAACAGCATTTCAAAATTGTTTTTGAATGGATCTCTCTTGTTTATACAGCTCTAGACATTAGTGTGTACCGACCCACGTTTGTTTCATTGTATGTAACATTCTTTGCATTCAGTCAAGTCACTGGTATTTTTTCGGCCACTATTGCTAGTAGTATAAGATAGTTGGAATCATCTCTGTGCTTTTCTTAACTACTTGGGGTCAAAGTCTTCCTTGATGAGCCATTACGGGTAGTATTGAGATGAAACTTTTGCAATTGTAGCTAGTCTGTCTATTTCGAGAGGTCGATAAGATCATTGCTTTTTACGTATACCGACAATCAGAATTCATAGGAGAGTGATTATTGAGTAGTTTAAGAGTACAAAGGAATTGGAAAATTATATATGTTTTACTGATTTATTTTAATTTTTTTGTTAGGAAATTATGAAAAATTAAAAAAAAAAAAAGATTGCCCTCGTGTATATATATATGTAAGGCCATTGAATCCTTGTAATAGAATAATTTGGGTGAGTGTTTGTGAGGTTTCATCATTTGAGCACATCTATGAAAAAATGTTGAGTTTAGATGTAAAGATTCAGAATTTAAATGAAAATAAAGTTATAAATTATATGTAGAAACGAAATAATAGAGTTAGAGTTTATATTATTTACATAATATTTTAAAATATTTAATAGAAATATAATAATATCCCTTCTAAAAAATAGACGAAAGTTAAAGAAATAAACGAAAGATAAATAAATAAGTAATACTATGACGACCTTTATTAGTTTTTAAAAGAAGTTCAGGTGGTGAATTATTCACAATTTTGTTATTGATTGAGATCTAAATCTTGATCATCTTGATATGAAATAATTAATGAAATTATGAGTTACACTAGTTCAGTAAGAATATCATATTAATTACAGATATGGAAAACTGAAAATTGGTAAAAATCAGAAAAATAATCAATGAAACCCTTAATTTAATATAAATTTATTAACTATAAAGAAATTTATATATTACATATTTGTGTAAGAAGTTTTTTTAAATAATAACTTATGTAAACTCATATTCATGTACTATTATTTATTACATAGAATATAACAAGAAATGACCATTGTAAATTTTACCTGCTAATTGGTACTCCTGAAGGTTCATAGAAATGTTCTCCTACTCGTGAACCCAATATCTAATTAAATAATTAACCGGCTGTCTTTTTACTATATCCGGTAATAGGCGTCAAACATTCTACCACCTCAATATCTCGTCCGGTATGAAAGTGAATCATATCTCTCAAACTTTACTGATAAGGGACTTTCCAGCCTCGTCTAATTGAGGTAACGTTCACGATAGGGTTCCCTATGTACCGGGTTCGTCCGCATTTTTTCGGGTACCCAATAAATCTTTCCGATATAAAATTTCATCAGCATAATAATCAACCATGTAATAACCATATCTCATTTTATACTCACTGTTAATTTAAATAACAATATAGTTTAATATATCAAAATAACTAATCATCGAAATACTGGCACACAATGTAGGAGAAACAAATAACAAAATAACTAAGAAGATTTTTAAAATCATCAATTAAGTTACGTACAATATAATAGTAAACAAATATAGACAATACAAAAAAGTAAACAGGAAATTGAAACACTTATCAAATAACCGGTTTCGGTTCCACTAGTGACATATAATTATTTTTAAATTTTTTTAATTTTTAATAAAAATACATAATTATTAATTTTTAAGCCTCAATTTGCCGTAATGGAGAAAATAGTGAGAGATTTTTATCCGAATCAGTATTCGAAACATCAAACTTTTTACTGCACCTACTGACGGTCCCTGAGTTTCCTGAATTTTTCTGCGGATATTAAAACACACTTCACGTGCTTTAAAATATCTCAAAAAATCCAAAATCAATGTTAAAAATCTTTTCCGTCAAATTTCGAAGTTCCAGCATGGTGGCACCGCCATGCTCCAGTAACGACACCACCGCCTGCAGCAACGATTTGTCTCGGTCTGACTATTTTCAGCTGGTTTCACTCGCCTTTATACATATCTTTATGAAACCACGTTAGTGGATCTTGGTTGACCGAAAAAATCAAAAATGAAACCTACGGATGGTGAGTTTC